TTGAAAGTTGCGGACAAGTTGCTGCGGACACACACACACACACACACACACACACAAACATACACAGACAACCCCGTAACAATATGCGTTTTGTACTGCTGTTACACAGCACAAAACGCATAAAAAAATCAGAGAATTTAGAAGAAATATGTGTAATTCGGTCAGCATTCATAAGGGTGTTGCTCGATCAGTCCATAGTGCCTGGGATTCGTTATCCATGGTGGTCAGCAAAAGACCGTTGCTCGGGTATTTTTGTTTGAAGTGGCTGAGTTTCAGCAAGCTTGCAAATACCATTCTGCCAATTCGTGGGACCATTCAATAATCCATTAAAAGGTCGTTGTTGATATTTGTTTGTTTCAGAAAATGAAGAATTCAAGTCGACACGGCATCCAACTTTGTTAAGCAACCCCGTTGCTAGAGGAAGTGCTTCGAGGGAGTGCGCAGCTTCTGGAAGGAGGAGAATGAGTTTGCTAAGGCAGTTACGCCTGTTGCTCCACAAGGAGTTCATCGGTGCGTGGCGAAACAAGTTGTGGACATTGCTCGAGGTTGCTGTGCCAGTGCTCATTTCGCTGCCTCTCGCTATCATCGTTGTCCAGGTTTCACGTTTTTCCACACCTAATCATCGACCAACATTCACGTTTAGCTAGATGACAGACCAGCATACGCAAAAAAACGAAATACATACCCCAGTTTTGAAATGTTTACTTGAAATGATACCTCTTACCATCCAAAATTTGCCCTATCTTCCGCTAAATTTGTATTGTGTCAAATTTTCTGTGGCAGTTTTTAGAAATCCTAAAACAGTTTTTTAGGAGTCGTGAGACATACTTATGCGGATGTTTTAGTGTATGTGGTAGTGTGCTATAAAATATCCCTTGCTTCTACTGTGCTCTATTTTATCTACTGCCCTGCATTTTCCTGTGCCCGAATTACTAGGATTTGTTCGTATACGTCATCCGCCATTGCAGCTACCTCCTAGCCCTTTTTCCTTTTTACTTTTTCCTACATACGTTTATACTTCCTTTTTCCCCATATATTTTCCTTTTCCCCTGCTATTACTTTGATTTCTGAATCAGATGTTTTTATCTTAATTTGAATTAGATGTTCTTATCTTAAACCTTACTGAATTATTGTGTTACCACAGTCGTCATACTGACGAGGTCCAATTGTAGTAACGGTAAGAAATGTATACGACTTAATGGACCGAAACATTTCTTACCTATAACAAATATTTTTTTACACCCTTTAACTATCTTAATATCCTTTTCTTCTTTTCATTGTTTTCTTCTCTTTATATTCTCTTTTTAACCTTTACTAGGTTTTCGGAGATCTTAAAAAATTTTTTAAAGTTTTTCTTGAGGTTTTTGGAGACATTTGACAGAGCAAACGAAGAGAACAAAGAGTTTTTACCAAAAAATTTTTTCCTTCTAAAGGACCACGGAATTCTTCCTGAAAATACATTAAATTTAGCCAAATAATGCAATGATACACGGTTTAAAATGCATTAAAAAGCAAATGACTGTTACAAAAAGCGTTGTTCCTAATGCCACGATGCTAGAGGATGGCTTAGCTGAACAAAACAAATTCTGAAATTGGACTTATAAATAGATGGAAAATTCCTTGCTCATATAGGCTAGGATTGCTCACTGCCGTATTTTACTTTTTGCTTGATCAATTTATAAACATGCGACAAGTAACATCTGAAAGCAATTTACTCTGAAGCATCTTTTTGATCCTCGTTACTCTTATAGGAATATTCACTTTCTTGTTACAGTCTTTTTGCCGGCTTTTTGCGGGTTTTCTAAAGACAGACCTCATATAACTCCTGCTGATGCGTCTTAGTATTGCAGGAAGCTTATCATTGACGTTCCTTCTTCTTGGTGGTTCCGCTAGTCGCAGCGATGAATAAACAGGGATATGATCTGATGAAAAATTGCTAAGAAAAGTCCTATATAATTTGTTGTAATCTTTCAGAAGTCTTCATCCGTAAAGCATGACGAGCAGCTCTATAAGCCTTTTCAAGTGACAGGAGATTGGCGAGATGTGGATAGACTTCTGGATAATATGAAGTCAATTTACAGTTCTTGTGGTCGACGTAACAAAAGAAGCCTTGGACTCGTTTTCCCGTTAGCTATTATCCTTTTTTCGCAA